CGTGATAATTACTCTCCTCTGTAATTGATGAAGGATATACTCATGATTGATGCGCTACAGAGGATAAACAGCATCGGTTATTGTCAACTATTAACTTAATGGGAAAAGAGGGTAGACTATAAGAGAGGGTAGACTATAATTGAGGGTAGAGAGGGTAGACTATAATTGAGGGTAGAGAGGGTAGACTATAATTGAGGATAGAGAGGGTAGAGTATAATTGAGGGTAGAGAGGGTAGACTATAATTGAGGATAGAGAGGGTAGAGTATAATTGAGGGTAGAGAGGGTAGACTATAATTGAGGGTAGAGAGGGTAGACTATAATTGAGAGTAGAGAGGGTAGATGGGGCCCAGGATATAGCAAGGTGCCTAGGCCAACAAATTTCAGCAAGTAAGGCTCTGTGGGCCAATAAAAGAAATAAATAAAATTGCATGTCATCGAAATGTTCTGTCATATAAAACATAATATATTTATACGACTCAATAAAAAATGGAAACTTATATATCATTTATTGGTCATCTGTAGGAAATTTTGCCTGTAATAGCGTATTTTTGGGCATGTTTTACGTAAAAAATTGTATTTGATGCCGTTTTGGAAGTTTATATGTGGAAATTAGTGAAATTAAATATAGGATATTTGTCTTTTGAGGATATAATGTCTTCAGGTCCGCAGTGTGTGAAGGATATTCAAAGGATACATGAAGGATATATTTAAAGGATACACTTCTAGGACATATTTACCTAGGTTTATCCTTTCTACGACCAAATAAGTTATTATATTGAATATTATCTTATTGGTTCCTTATTCTCAATTATTGATTGATTTTTTGTGTATAAATAATGTATGAAGTAATCACTTGCATTCCATAATTGTTAATTAGTTATTGTGATCCGATATCTTCGTTATATTTATCTGTTAATTAGTAATTAATTAATTTAATCAGTAATTAATCTTAATATTGAGAGCCTTTTGTATTAAGCAGACGAAATGCTCGTTAATGTCGCGTAGTTTTCTACACTCAAAAGAATAAAAGGAGATTTGTCGCAGTCTCTATCCGAAAAAGGTCATATACACTTATACCTCTGCAAGGTATACTATATGAAAAAGGTACACTTATAACTCTGCAAGGTAAACTATATGAAAAAGGTACACTTATACCTCTGCAAGGTATACTATATGAAAAAGGTACACTTATACCTCTGCAAAAAGTGTCTTAATATTTTGATGTACCTATTTCCTTCAGTGTTTTTTTTAGTGTACCTATTTCCCTTTTTTTTTAGTGTACCTATTTTTTCATGTTTTTGAATGTACGTATTTCCTTCAGTTCAATGAATTCAAATGAATTGTTATTATCCATTTTGATATCCACGACGCTGCAATAGCCATCAGGTTTCCCTGACGTTATTGCTACGTTATTCGTCAAGTAATAACGCTCGTAGATTGTAGCAGTTACTGCTGCTACATTGTATCTGTGCAGTTAGTAGCTGTGCACTGTACAGTAGGTAATGTACAGTGAATACGTTCCATGAATAAATATGTACAATAACCTTGACCCTTCAGAGGGCCTCATTACCCTTCAGAGGGCCTCATTACGCTCTAGAGGGCCTTATTACCCTTTAGAGGGCCTTATTACCCTTTAGAGGGCCTCATTACCCTTATTAACTTGCCCCCTCTGAGAGGACTTCTGACGGGTGTCCGTGCTCGTCAGAACTCATATGGGATTTCGCGCTCCTAGGGGGATTGTTCCTGAGCGCCCCACCGCTGAGCTCGCGGTGCCTGACTGTTGGTCTCAGTTGCCCCCCCGTGCCATCTCGCCCCTTGTCGTGGGGGGCTTGCGTGTCTCAATGAGACCCGAGGCTGTGCGGTCTCAGATGCCGAGTGGCTCGGGTGGCTCGGGTGGAGATGCCGAGTGGCTCGGGTGGAGAGTCCAGACTAACAGAGATGGCAAAACACCCTTCTGGTAACGGCCTGGCTCTCTTTTGGATACGCAAAGACCTTTCGCTGGATTGACGAACTCTGGTGGGGACCTAGACCCGACCCGCTAGCTTCAATAGTCATGCGTGGCAAGGGTTAGCTGCGGGACTCCTGGGTAGGCGAGGGGCTGCTTAAACATCGCGCAGACGGAGTGGCGCCGTCTTGCAACACTAGTCAAGCGCATAACCTGCTGAGCTCGGGACAACCCGGGGCCATACTTTCAAAATTCGCTAAGTGAGCGTAAGTACCTCCGCTCTATTTTCTTGTCTATGATTGGTGGATTGTCCTTGAAAGGCCGTCAATGATTGGCTGATGAACTTACGATCACTTACATTTTTTTGAAAGTATAGGCCCTGGGCTATATTCGAGCGTATGAGTGGTCCCGTCGGGACTACGTGTGCCCGGCAGCAGGGGTCCCCTTGTTGAGGCAGACACATGGGTGTCTGCCAGGCGTGCCGGACGAATTCTTTAGAACCTGGATAACGACAATGAACTCTCCTGACGCGCCCCTAGAACACGATCCTCCGGCAACGACCCAGGCTCTCCTAATCACCAAAATTGCTGAGCTGCCATCGTCGATTCCTGCGGATCGGAGGAGCGAACAGCTCGCCGGCCATACAGACCCAACACTCGAACCATACATACCGAACAGAGACCGAGAACACAACAACCAAAACCGAACATAAAGAACCAGATGAGGGAACAATCGCCCACCCCAGAGACCCAGCTCCCTGGATGACGGCCCGACTGACTTCCTACCACCTGGAGCCCCCTTCAAAGCGCCTAGGAAATTCTTCACGATATCGTCTAAGAGCGGCGGCCATCTTTCTGCTATCGATGTCATAACGGCCAACAAAGAAATTGAACGGACACTGAAGGGAAAACCATCGAAGATCACCGAGACGAGGAATGGAACGCGTCTCGTAGAGGTGGCCAACTACCAACAGAGCAAAGCCATTACATCGCTACAGACCCTAGCCAACGTCCCTCCCGGTAACAGTAACTGCACACAAGAAGCTGAATGAGAGCTGTGGCACGATTTGGTATCCTAACAGACCAAACTATTCAGACGAAGCCATACTGGCCGAACTAGCTCAGTACGGTGTAAAATCAATTTACCGCACCAAAAAGAAGGAGCGGGGCGTTCTCATGCCAACCCCAATTTATATCCTGACCTTTGACGACTGCCACATCCCGACGCATGTTGCGATAGGCTGGACTCGCTGTCACGTGCGTTTGTATATACCGAGAACGCGGCGGTGCTTCAAATGCCAAGGCTTTGGCCACGGTGCGACCGCCTGCCCGTTGCCACATGTGCCAACTGTGCACAGAGCAGCACGAACTAACCATGCGCTCTAAATGTAGCGGCTGCTACCGCTACAATTGCTTAAATGTAGCGCCGCTAAAGCTACTGAAAATGTAGCGGCCGCTACATGTAGCGCGCTACTGTTCACCTTTGTCCATACTACGAAATGGAAGAGGAGAATATAGCCACGCAAACCAAAGAACGCATAAGCTACGGAGAAGCCCGGCGAATAGTAAGGAGCCGATACGTCACCCCTCGGGTTACCTTCGTCGAGGCAACACAAGCACCATTAGCCTCAATTACTGAACAACTGAAACGACAAGAAACCCCAAGACCTGCGACATCTGTGACCTGTAAGTGCGACGGATCTACTCAGACGGATTCGGAGGACAATGAGAGTATGACCAGAGCCCATGCACGTCTCAATACTACGTCTATATCAACAACGAAGGAACCTTTTACCAGCAGTGCAACACGGAAACGAATGCAAAGCAACACCTCACCCCACCTGAGGCATCGGACGCCTAATTCCCAAACTGAAACCAAACATCATCAAGGTGAAGACCAGCTCACCAAGGACAAACCGCGCAGAGAACTGAAGAAAGTAGCAGGTCCCAAGCCCTATGTGGGTCATAGAGTCCTCTCCCTGGATCGGGTGACGAGCGTGCCGGAGATGAGCAGCGACATTTTGAACAAATATCCCATCCCCCTGCACCTCTAACTCGCTCCTCCTCTCCGTCCTCCCTGGGTGTAGACAGAGCTGGGCATCGCTACTTTGAACTGTAGCGGCCGCTACCGCTACATGCTCTAAATGTAGCGGGCGCTACCGCTACAATTGCTTATATGTAACGCCGCTACCGCTACTGAAAATG